AGCCTAAATAGGCCTGCAATCCGGAAGAAGGCCATTTTTCTTGTGAATGCCTCATCTCTTTAGAAGCGTTTATTTAAAAACATTAATCAGTGTCAGTCCCATGTAACATTGTGCTTATCCGGTACTCAAAATTGTAAACACATTTGTTTAATCGCCAGTAGACGTTAACAAAAGAGAAGAAAGTAACTATTTGTTGCCAAGATGTCTCATCTTGAGGTAAACATATCCACATAAGCAGAATAAGCTTTCGTACTAAACGCATCGTTGGAGTGATGATGTATTCTAGGATAGGGCGAAAGTAATATTCGAAAAAAGCCATTTTATTAAAATTCAGGAAAGTCTTTTTTATTTATTAATCTGGAGGCTGCCGCGGAGATGTCTGAGTCAACGAATTTGGTTTGCAACACAATGTATGTGCGCGCTAATAGTTTTACGGAAAACGGAAATTTATCATTCAGCTCGAACGACTAAACAGTCGTTAACTCAATACACGATTATATCGAATGCTGAATTAGTTATGAGCGTCACTATTTGAAGTAATACGGGACAAATTCTAAAAAAGAACGTAAATAGGACAACGTCAATTATTAAAACATACACATAGCGTTTTCGTAAGTGGAACATAGATGCCAGCAATATGTCACTGATGTACGCCATCAGTTCTATTATCAGTTTTAATAATAAGATTACTTGTTTGTGTCTCGGAACTTAGTGTCGCGGGGAGGCAATGAGTCATTCGATCCAAACAGACGCGTAAGACCTGTTTCAGAACTTATTCGCAGACAAACTGGATAAAGTGTTATGATTGGATCAACCTTACTATTAAAATTGACAGACGTGTTTTATACAAAGTTTAGCCATTCAGAATTTTAGATTAATATAGATATGTTTAATTTGCGTCACTGTGTCGGTTCTCTATCACGCAGTGAGTCGTCGGCGACTTTCAGAAGTCGACATGGTTTTTGAATGTGGTAACTATAAGTTTGGTGTATATATAAACTAGGCAAAAGCGCAATTGGCGACCTTTAATTTCTACGTTTGTCTTTTAAGAGCAGTCTATTTTATAAGTATACGCTAAAAATTAATTGCATACGTTTTACATAATCTTGTTGAGGTAACACTCAGGTGCTTTTTGATTTTGAAAAGTCCTCAATTCTTCAAGGGCGCATTAGCATACGGCGTAATCCTATAAAATAATGTTTCAACAGTTACTGAAATCGATTCACACGCATCTTCTGATGACAAGTAGACGTATCGATATTCCTTTTACGCGACGTGTACGCGCCGTCAATTTAAATAGTAAATGTCAAATGAATTTCTAACGTAAAACTGCTTTGGGTCGCTGAACAACACTGGTGTAGAGCCTTGATCAAATTCTACTTGAGTAGGATTTTTACCACCTCACCGGCGTCCTAACACACAGCGAAGGACAGATAGCATATTGCTCTACAAGTAAACGCAACCCAGCACCGTAAACACTAGAGGCGGACACACTTTCCTGGACGTTTGCATCCGTCCGTGTTTTGCTTCCCACTGGAACGTACCGGAGAATCATTTTCATGCTACGCTTCCTCAACTGATTTATACATTGTCATCATGCATTAAGTTCAATTAAGTCTTTTTATACGTTGTTTTTTTCATCTCGCTTCGAAAGCTGACGCAGAGAACGGACGATGGACTTTGGAAGAGGCTACAATTAGCGTTGAACTGCTGTGAGAAAACGGTAACAGTGTTTTAGGGATATAAAAGGTATACGTGACAATTTCGTGTCAAATATGGCCATGTCTGTAAGAGGTGGTTCGTAGTTAATAATTGAGTTTTCCCCTATAATGTTCAAATTGAAGGGGTCACTATTGATCGAAAGACCGACTGGCAAATATCAAATCGAGTTAAAAGCGGTCACTTAGCTAGATCGCAACGGCTTAGCAATGATTAGCTCTTAAATTGCTTAAACAACACGCAGGGCTAGAAATAGTTGTAGCAAGCCAGTAAGTAGGCCAAAGGTAGGCAACTATTTTTTTTCTCTCCAAGCAGACTTATAGCGTGAATAAATCGATACGATCTTTGACACCGACACCTAATCGGCCCAGGACATCGATATTAAGTGGTGGGGCTTACATCTAATGGCCGGCTTCTTCTTCTACTGGTCAGTAGACTAGATTCGCCTTTCGAATTATACATATATATACACGATCCGAAATCGAGCTATGCATTGAGGTGGCTTGATGTCCAGAGAGGATAACTGGGCTAATAGAGATTTCCCACCGTGAGCTGTCCGTGCATGCATAAAGCGAGTCAAATCAATACTTTTGTTAATGATTAGGATGCTATATGGGTTAAATTACGTGCCGATAGTAGTGGGGCAGGTGGTAATAGACAAGTGCACCTTTGTCGTTTTCAGATCAAATTTTTGAGTGACCAATTCGAGATTATCAGAGTCTCGCTTTGTAGGACATCACTCTAATCCTACGGTGATGCAAATCAAGCGTTGCTGTTCACCCCCATCAATTATATCCTATACGTTATAGAGCTGAATCTGAGATACATGGACCAGCTTGCCGCCAGATTACAGAAAAAATGCATATGTTTATCAAGTTGCTACGAAGATTTGGCCTTTTTTTTAATCTCTAAATGTCGTTATTGTTGCCCAGTAATTGCCGGCTGTTCATGATGCTACACGGTATTTAAATAGGTTGAAACGCTACTCTGCACAGTCATAACAACAATTTTCACTCTTGACGTCATCGAACCCGTTATCTACAGATACAATCTACCTATCCTACAAAACGCTTTAGGTAGTGGCCTAAAGCTGCTAGGAACAGCTGTTTGACGTCGTCGGATTAAGATTTGTAGGTCGCTGGGTTTTCATCATAGGAAGTTCCGCGCGGCGGATAGAGTCAGTCAACTAAATACGATTATCTCGGGAGGCAATTGTTTGCTTTTTCCGATAAGGCGTAGTGCTGATTTGGTTCGTGGTTAATCGACGGCAGCAATTTCAATTTAATTTTAAAAACAACTTCACAGACACCCAAAGTGGCTACCGTGCTGATATATACAAATTTATACTTTTGTGGAAGTTGTATAAACGAGCGTACCCAAAGTGTGTTGCGTAACAAGCGGTGTTTAGAAAAAAGCTACTATGTTATAACGATGGTTTTAGTAATTGATCTAATATAGCAGCGCTTAAAGGTTCCTATAACAGTTAAGGGTCGCTAGAATCGAGCTGAGTAGACATACGTCGTACTTGGTAACGTTCTATTTCTCCCTGCTCTTGAATGTAACGCTCACAGCCTCTGATCCGTAGAGCTATTCCAGAGAAGACAAAGTTCGGGTAACGCAACCCACAAATTATGCCTTTTAGTCGACGGAATACTATTATATTTCAACGTGTTTCCGTTGCCGCTGCTTATGAAAAGCTCTGCGACGACGTATTAGATGACTTTCAGTTATTGTACCATTTTATGGCAGCACTTTCACTTTGGAATACCCAGCAGGCCAGAATAGACTTGCGTTCGATAGCATCAGACGGCACGGGTTTATACACCCAACCACTTGAGCATGACGAAAAGGCAAATTATTTGCAGAATATTTGACGATTGGTTGAATGGTGACTTCTTGAATATTTCCTGTTTACAGATATTCCCCTATGCATATCGTAATTAAACTAAATCCTTGTTTCGGGAAGGACAGCCTTTCCCTCGATTCCCGCCATCCCCGTAATAATAGTGGAAGCAAATTTGTTACATCTGTAAAAGTTGCGGGTTTGGCGTTGACCTACTATCTATCTATAAATAATATATATTTATGCTTGCGTCATGGGCGTTTCGATCTATTACTAGTCATTCTATACGATTGGATTTACCTATGTGGCTGTCTGTAGATTTTTCTCTTATCAGACTGTCTATACTGAATGTACATTACAATAGATGAGTGCCACACATGCCTGCGCTGCATTTGTCTGGGTACGAGTAGTAGACTGGTCCGCTGTAAATCTAAGGGACTGCTACGGTAAGACCGACTGTGGTCAGATATCGGCCAACTAGCAGGTATCTTCTTCTTGCATGATTTCCTTAACTGGTCCGTTCGTTGCATGGTTTCCTTGACCAAGTGTTTTACTAAAAATATATATAACTGTAGCCGATTGGCTTAACTGATCATCAACTTGAATTGCCAGTACCGTAGCGTACGATCGGAGGGCGTTGTCCAAGGGTCCCCAGCGTCCGATATCTACCGACAACGAGATACTCGCAACTGACGACGACGACCACGAAGAAGCTGAGAGACCCTGATCCCCGAACGAACGTCAACGACTGGCCGCTGTCCTGCCTCTGCAGCTGTGGACGCTGCAATAACAGCAGCCAGAGCATATGAGAACCATACGAATGTGCACAACGTACGTGGACATGAGCTGAGCGGTTGCAAAGATTGGCCTTGGATTAGTGCCTGGTTACCGAACGAAAACCACCAGGCGGACATGGTTCGGCGTACATTGCCATCGACGTTTGTCTCTCGTCCCCGGTGTCACAAGGGCCACAACTAACAGTTGTCAACGTTGGGCAGCCTTAAGTCCTAATACACCCTCCAGTCGTCTCACTAACCGAAAATTGGCCACGCGTAGGACAACGGGTTGACAACAACCACTGCTTCTGCTGCTGCTAGTAGCACTACCATCGCTGACACTACTATCTTCGGAAGTTCTTATCCATTCACCACTGCTGTTGATTGTATAGCCGCGTCTATTGATAAATCTGTTGCCACTCGGCTACCACTACAACATCGCAGCTGTTATTAATACTCTCCCTCGTCCCTTATAGCCCTTGTCCATTTTTATATCGATCTATCTCTTTGTTAGGTCTGTTCGTAGCAGTTTAAAATAATAGTAGTACTGGTAGTGTTATTATAGCCTGACCAGCCAGCCGATTATGATTGTTGTCGTTGTCGTCGTCGTTGTTGTTGATGACGTCGTTGTTGTTACTGACGCCGCCCAGGGAAAGGAGAGCTGATCGTACTTTCTGCAGTGTCCGCGGCAGCAGCAGCAGCGACGCTTGCGCTTGGTATCGAAACGAGGCGGTACAAGTAATGCAGCGGCCAGCATCGCTAGTGATAGCGGCGGCAATAACAAACTGTTAACTTCCAGAATTCGGAAGGGAATTTTGCTAGCGCGCGGACGCGCTGTCTCTTCGATGCTATCTGGTACGAACGCCAACCAGTCAGCTCACGAGATATGCGTGTGCAGTAAAGGACTCTAAAGCGGAAAAATAGGTGACGATAGGCACATCGACAGCGATTCGAAAAAATTATTCGAACAAAAAAATGTTTTTAGTAGGATTTTCCATCAGAGATGTCAATCGCTTACAAAGTGTATAAAATCGGTACATGGATACCCCTCTGGCTGACAACATATCGCACGGGCGCGTGCAGCGGCCGTCCGTTCTATCGAGAGAACTCGTGCAATCTATGGAAATGTGCATGACCAGGTTTAGCCTATAGTGACGCACGAACGAATCCTTAAGATGAATAGTTTTTATCTGTGTAAGTAAAACTGGCCAATGGAAACTCGGCTCGCTGCTGCACAGCGTAAATTCGTGAACTTATTCGATCGGAATGTACTATCACATTACTGCGTTATCGAGTCGTCCAATCCATGAGAAGTTTTATGCTGCCCATAGACCACTCTTTATAACAATGCTTCCTATGTGTGTCAATTTCGTACAATTATATTTACAACGATTTGTATTACAACAGGTGTGATGTGGACAAAAGTGGAACAAAGGCCAAAAAAAGTAGTTTTGACGGGAACGGCCATTTCGACCGGCAATCTCAATGGGTGGTACTCTATACAGTTTGTGCGACAGGTTTCGTGATTCGATGGATTAGCACTATAAAGGCTATCCCTCCCCTCACCTTGGGAGTGGTGGGAATAATTGGGCATATGCTCCCACACACATTCGGACACCCTGTTTTACTGGATGTATTGAGTTCACTGTAGAGTAACGCAGGGATGCCAGTGCGACGAGCTCGCTTTATTTCGACGACATTTAGTGACAGCATCAGTGAGTCGGCGGCTAAGCTATGCTACGTTTCAAGTTTAAGGAGATTTTCCGTCATGGATCGAAGGACGTATCTCCAACAGTTCGCCGAGATCGTTCGCGAAGTGAAGAACGGGCCAGAAATCCGGCCTGCAAAATGTTACCTGGTGCCTTTCCTTCGGAGTGCTTGAGTAACGGAAGTGTCGGCGGAAGCAGGACCGTAGCTGTGAGAATACAAAGAAATCAAAGTGAGTTTAGTAACAAAGACCACAGCCAATGTTCGTCGCCTAGTGGAGTTAAGTCCCCCCTTTTACAGTGTACTGAAAAGCTGGATTGTATGCGCTCCGAACAGTCGAAAGAAGATAAAGGTAACGGATGTGATACAGCTGAAATGACTTTCTTATCGGACAAAAAGTCAACCGATGATAATCTTAGCATCGGCACGTACATCCTACCCAGCCGAAGGCAAAAGGAATCAGAAAAAGGTGCTGCTAAGGACAATAACGGTCGACGACGCCAGGACACTAATGGTAGCCTCAATAGCGGGCCACCCGGGAGCCCCATTAGCGATCGCGATGAATCTTATTGCTATGAACCATCATCAGCAGCAAATGGAGGCTCCAAAAAAGTTGATGAATCAAAGGCGCCTCCGTCTGCCACAATTACGCCCGCGCCCGGCCTGCCGGCACGCAGTATCTCTGCCGACTCGAATCGAAAGAATAGCTCAAAAGCAAACTGTCACAGCGATGAGTCGCTTTTACCGATGAGCTGTAAGCAACGGCAGGATATTCACGCTATCCAGATTCCGCTAGTGACCCAACGAGCGAACCAAGAACGGCGAAAAGCCAAGGAAAAGGAAGATAAAAAAAAAAACAATTTTTTCAAAGAAATTGCACAACGTCTTAAAGAGCGCACGATTAGTAAGCGAAACCATGGAAGCCTGACGTTAACGAGGCACCGAAAACGGAACGGCTCGATTGGGTGTGAGTCGACGAAGTCGATAGCGTTCACGCGGCCTCTACTGCACGAAGTTTTCGTTAATGAGTCGCGGAGGGTGGCGGGAGAAGCGGGGGCAGCGGCGGCCTGTGGCAGCGACAGCGGTATGCACACACCCCATAGCTTTAGTGACAGTCACCTCGATCAGCATAATGATGATTCCGTCTATAGTCACCGCTTTTGCACTTCCGCCGACTCGATATCGGACGTTTCTAGTCATGATGAGGGGCTGGCACGTTGTCAGGACAACCGCCATGGAACAAGTCTCAATCTCGAATCTGAGACCGCGTCTCCCCATAATGGCTTGCCGCTACAGAGAAATAGCCAATATAATCCGAACTATGAGAGCGTATATAAAACGCGTAGCCTAGAAACTATCGTTGGTTTCCCACAGCGACGTCTCGGTGTCGATCGAAAACACTACTCAGAAATTCCTACTTTATTAGAAGGTCTCATCCTAGGCGGAATTCCCTCGCCAGTCGCCGAAGAGCGTACATCAAAATCATCGATATTCATTGATAAAAAGGATTCGTTCGATTTCGGTCGAGATTCGCAAAGTTCTACACCTTACATGGATCCGAATGATGATGACGACGTTTTAGAGAATGACGCCTGGCCAATGATACCTGTTGCAACAACGTTCATAGTGCCAGACACCGTTGATGACACTGTGCTCAACCATCGTCGAACTTCAAATGTCGTGAGATTACTGCCTTCTAACAGACACTCGGCTGGTGAACGCGCACAAAGAACTCGGTCACGTACCCTTGATATATCGAGCCCGTTTAATCCGATTCACGTTGTAGGCACACACAGACCTTCAAGCATGCTTTCGACGGAGGAAAACATGCGAAGGTATCGAGAAATTTTCGGTTCTGTTCCCGCCGTCAACAACATCGTAGGCGGCATCGGGGGGGGAGGAGGAGGAGGAGGAGGAGGAGGAGGAGGAGGAAAACGTACAAGAGCGGGATCAGCAACATCTAATAGTAACAATCGAGCACACCGCTGGCTTAAGTTATTTCCCATGCGTAAGGCCATGTCTGAGGAAACAACTGCAGGTGCTCGTAACTGGGAAGAACTATTTCCTACGAAACTTGGGGTACAACCCCTTACACAGCACAGCGTTCACAGTCCACAGCAGCAGAATCACGGTAGCAGTACGCTCCACAAAACTTCGTGTATGTCGATTAACGTATTTCACTTCTAAAGTTCCATCTTTGCTGTTATTCATCTATCTAATGTCAAGTCTATCTAGCGGTCGTAATATACGGTGTATTTCTTTACCTTATATATATATATATATATATATATATATATATATATATATATATATATATATATATATA